CTTTCTGATCCGATTCCTGATAAATTCAAATTAAGCACAACATATATTATATGGTGTGTTAAATCACATTTTTCGGGGTTTGATTTGTAAAATTAATTTAGGAAAATTCGCAATTCCTGGTTTTCGCTTGGCGACACTCATATATTAGATAGGTCGTAGTGAGTATTAGAACAGGAATTACGTAATAAATGTCACTTCTTAATAATATCATATTCTTTTTAAAATAAATGAATAATAGCTTTGATCAATTTGTAACGATAGGTAGACGTGCGCTCATAGGTATAGGGTTTCAAGAACGTTCAGAGGCATTCGACTTTCAAGTAACGTTACAAGATCATATTAAGTAAGTATAAATATAGTATCTTGTATCTATTTCTCTGATTAATAATATAACGCTGAAACATTATTTATTTTTAGACATTTAAAAGCAGAGAAAGAAGCAATCGAGCACGCCAAAACTTCTGCATTGGTACCAAAAAAAGATTATAGCTTAAAAGAGGGTCAAACAATTAGCATTAATCTCGGTCATGTAAGCTACTCTCCAATACTTTATAAAATTTATTGATTTTTTGTGTTTGATATTGACGAGTTTTGATTAAACATAGCAGAAATCAAGACATTCAAAGTCTCAATCAATTGATCATGTTCCAATATCTGAAGAAACTGGAGGTCAGAAAGAAATATAGAATTTTATTGTTTATTTATTCGTTTAATTAATTAATTAATTAATTAATTATTCATTAATTAATTAATTTGCTTATTTATTTTGATTAATTAGTTATTCCACTTTTACCACCACCACCATCTACTACATCTATTAAACAAAGAGGCCATAAAAGATCACCATCTCCAAGTAATGATTTTGGGGAATTCAAAGGGTTCGAAGATTCATTTGACAAAATAAACATTGTCAACAATGCAGATAGCGTTATTGAAGATTCAAGTAATGCCAACAATGCAGATAAAGTTATTGAAGATTCAAGTAATGTCAACAATACAGATAGCGTTATTGAAGATTCAAGTAATGAGAAAACATCTATTCAATAAAAAATATACAATGCTGACGTCAATTAAATTTTTTAGTGCCGATTTTGATTTTTAGATAATAAATATGATAAAAATTTGTAACTTTAATGTACTATATAAAATTTTACACATAGCTCTGACTATAACGACATCTGTATAAATTGGCAACTGGTTATATCGACATTTTTTTATATGAAGTTGTCTCCGATCAAACTGACATCTGAATATATTTTTATTTTGGAGAATGTCGATGTAACCAGTTATGTAATTCAACTATAAATTATATAAAGTGGTATATAGTTCAATGATATAAAAGCATCTAAGATGGTTAACTTATCAATTTAATAGTATGTAATATAAAATTTTATTATTGTCCATCGCTTCACTCTCGACACTTACTACGGACTATGATAAATAATTCATGTGATTATATCTGTCTGTTCGCTCTACATGGTGTTACACCTAATAAACTTTTTTTTTATGTATTTCAATTTTATACTTTTATAGAGCTTAAATATTCTACGTATACTTGTCGAAATGTTTCGGTTTATAAATGATCATGATTGGCACATTATACACCTGTAATCACTTTGATTAGCTCTGTAGCTATTTATAATTTGATTGGTTGATTTACGTATCTGATCGATTGTTTTGATTGTTTTGAAAATGATTTAAAAGTTCAGTTTTAAAAAAATTTATTTCTAATCCGAACTTATTACTGTATTAATAAAAATTTACAAATGTTTTAAAATTTTTTGTTTAGTTTTCGCAGAATTTTATTAAGGATTCAGTTTAGAAAGAGTGATTTGAATCAGCAAGAATTTTCTTACCGGTTTCGTATTTCCACTTTCGCGCGCCATGATTTATGAAAGTAAAATTAAAGACATTCTAATAATGTAGACGCCTACAGAATTCAGGGCGAAATTTATCTTATATTTGGATGTGAAGAGGAAATTCATTGTCCAAGCTTTGTTTCCAAGGTAAATAAAGAGTTTTGTAGGGTCTACTGTTCCTAGTTATGCTTTATTTACGAGTCAATATTTTTTTCTCTAGGCAGATTTCTATTGATCCGTTGAGAACCTTCAAACACTTATATGACTATCGGTATAGTCTTAAATATATTTTCAGAAAATAAACAGGAGAAAAAAGGGGTTCGCCCACCTGTACCAAACAAACAGTGAACCTCTAGCAAACCTCCTTCCAAATATCAGAAGGGTTTGAAAGTAGAATATTGGACCAAGCTACTGCTAGTTAATTTTTCCTGCCTCAATATATCATATATGGTATATTGGGCCAGGCTTTACGAGATTACTTCTCTAGATATATTGAATAGATTTCCTGATGGCCAATGATTCAATATATTGAACTCAAACTTACAGGATTTCTGCTTTGTTGCTTTTTTCTAGAGATTTTTCTGGTTATTGAATTAGATTTCGTTCATTGCTATAATGTATTGTTAACTTATTTTATTATATATAACGGATTATTGTTTACATTAATTTATCTTTGTATTTATTTATCTCAATGTGACCATTCTTATTTAAAAACAAAAAAAAAAATTATAAATTTTATAAAAATAAATTTATTCTTCCTTTCTCTTTTTTGGATTACTTCTACATTATCACTATCATTTATCACATACACAACACCACACACATTCTCTTTCAATTTGCGGCAAATTGCGCAACTTATCATTTCTCACTCTTAGATAATTATTCTTACGAACCAAACGATCAAAATTTATATCCATTAAATAATATTCTAATTGCGCAGCTGCTAATCCCGACTTTCACTTTTAACATCCCGACGCATCTCAGTAATTCCAAATTTCCTTTTGACGTCTATTATATTACAATTTGATTTTTTTTTAAAAAAAAAAACAGTCTTGAAGACACTGTTCTTGAAGATTGGAAGATGATGTTCCTCTTGACAAATCTATTCTTACAAAGGCACTTCTTTCGAATATTAGAAAATTTGTTACCGATCGTACCCCCTATACTATCTGTTCTTTATTTTATACTGGTGCACTTACATACCAACAAAACTCGTGTACTAATAGTTTACAAATGCCAGATAAACCTTTTTTTGGATCAATGTACGTGAGTTAGTGGTTTATGAATGCCACATATTGTACCTTTTTTTCTTTTAGTCATCGCATATGCGCTGGTAGTTTACGACCGCCACACGATATACTCAAAGGGTCACAAGATGCTAACCTCCACGTGGTGTGATCTGGATAATAAATAACTAATAGCATCAACCAATTTGTAAATTAGGGCAGTATAACTATATGAGTGATGCCAATTAAAACCTGAAGGTGAATATTCAAATTCTTACTGTGGTGAATTATCATATTTGTTATTCAATTACGATAATTATTCAGAAAACTTATTCATATATTGTGTATTAAGATACTATTTATCGTTATGCTATAAAAATTTTATGCTCCAAACTTATGCTAGTTCCTTTAACGATTGCGTTTAAACGATTAAATGGTTATATGATTACGGTCAAATGGTCAAACGATTATACGATTATTAATCGTGATTAATCATGTAACTTATAATTAAGCGACGTCAGCACAATTTTTCACGGTTCCAATCCCTATGTTCTGATATAAAAAATAAACTACTTTGTCACAGTTTTAGTATGTTAGGTTACATTTTTTTAGTTTTTCGGCATAGGATAAAATAAAAACTCAAACAAGATACACGTAACGGTAAGCGGAATGGTAATTTATAATAAGTTCCGAACACACCATGCTACGCATTAGTCTAGTTTTCAAAGTTATAATAATTATATATATACAATATATATATTAAAGTATATAGTAGCCTTTTATCCAATTAGCATTAGCCTCAAGTCCAATTAGCCTTTGCCTTGATGTCATATTTTTGGACTTATGTCCAAGTAGCGGTAGATTTTTAGTTCCTGGAATTCCAAGTTTGAACTCATCGAAGCTAGGGCGACATTAAGCTTTACCAGCTAATTATGTACTCTATAGCCAAATTATCATTCACGACAAAATGGGTTGGATTTCATCAGTTTCACCAATTCAACGCCAATTTCCACCAATAGGTAAATTATTTCATCACTAT